TATGGATGAGAGGAAATAGTTTATTTAACTTTGTCTTGAAACTAGAACATAAAAAAATATTTAATACTATAAATTAATATTGAAATTAAAATATTAATATTAGAAACAATCATTAGATAACATTTTCAACAAAATATGGATTAAGCTAATAACAATAAAGGTAAACCAACTTTTATGGTTTACAACTCAACAACTTTCTTTTATCTCATTTTGTCAAACAATTATTTTTTTTCTAACTTAAACGTCCAAAATGATTTAAACATACTACTCCGTACTACGTAATTAGTTAAAAAGATGGAATGTTAATGGTGGTTTTGGACGCACCTGAATGCGCACGTAGTTGGAGCTCCGGCACTGGCCGAACGCCATTGCGACGGCGTGGTCAACCAAATCGGCGGAGCAGTCGCCGGCGATGCGGGCCCACTCGTTCCCCTTCCACTCCTTGGCTCCCTCGCTTGACAAACCGCCGCCTTCTAGAAGCTGACCCGTGCCCAGCGAAAGTACCAAAATGTCCTCCACCCCTCTCACCAGAGGAAACTCCTCCTTGTTGTGCAGCACGTGCGTGATGGCCGCCGCCGTCGGGTTGGGCATCGCCACCCCTCCGTCCACCGCCACGCACCGGGTCGACCCGTTCACCGAACTCATCCCCACCGGCCCGAACACTCCCGCCTCCGCCGACGTGCCCCTGCACACCTCCCACAGCCGGAAGTCGAACCCGTCCGACTCCAGCGCGTCGGCGCGGGAGAACACGAACGCGCCGCCGCTCGAAAGGTCGTAGCACGGAATCAAAACCGGCTTGATCGTGTCCTTCAGCGTCAACACCCGACCCGTTTTCTCGTCTGAGAACGCTTCCTTCATCGCCTTCTCCAGACCGGTGGCGGAAGGTGCCGCCTCGCTACGGAAAATCCGCCGGAGGATTCCGTTTCTGCCGGAATTCGGGTAGAGCTTCCCTCCCTTCTCAACCAAAAACCTCCACGTTTCCTCCGCCGCAAAAATCGGACGGCTCTGGTCCCTCGTCCCGAACAGCATCGCCGTGAAAATCCCTCCGACGCCGGAGCCGGCAGCGACATCAAAGTAATCGCAAATCCGGGCATCCGGGTCGCCCGATTTCTCCTTCAGCGCCTTCTCCAAGTACGCCAGCGCCTTCCCGGAGAGGATGTTCCGCATTCCGCCGCCATCAACGGACAGAACACAGATTTTCCCCCTCGGGTGTTTACAAATCCCTTTCGGCGGCGGCGACAGGGCAGAGACTACTTCATCAGACGGCGGCGGAGGGATGGATTTGGGAATCCAGAGCTTGTGGTGATCGTAGCCGAACAGGAACTTGCTCTCGAGGATGGAGAATATCTCGTAGCTGAGCTTATCGGAGTCAACGCCGGCGGTGGGATGATCGGCCGACATATCCGGAAAGAATCCCACTACCACTCAAAAGAGAAAACGGAAGAAATGGGAAATGAAGAGAGCAGCCAGAAGTGCGGGGAGTTGCAGGGCATGTCTGTCTAGTAGTAACTGCTTGCTTAGCAAACTTCTTAAATACAGGACTCAGGGTAATTATTTTTTTTGAGGAAATAAAGGGTAAATTTTAGAAAGTGAATTTTAGCAAAGTTAACTCTTTGAAAATCTTCAATTTATTGTTTTGAAAGTTACCTAATACTGTTAAAAAATTAATTAAAATGCTAATAATATTAATTTAAAAATATCAATTTTTTTGCTTAACTAGATTCAACATAAACAAAATATTGTGGTTTGAGTTTGGAATAATGGATTGGAAATATTGTATTGTATTTTGAGTATGGAAAATCAATAAACAAATTGATTTTAATAAAGCAATAGATCGATTTCAAATACTCCGCTGTAATTTTGTTATTAATGAGTTTTATATTTAAAAATTACTTGAAATATTTAATAAACATAAATTTAATGTAAATTACTAATTATCAATTTTTAAAAAAATTTCATTAAAATAGTACTCCGTAATACGCAATAAAAAATTCTTGTTTGGAAACTTGAATTTAGATTTCAAAGCTGGATTTGATTCAAATTTCTTATTTGGGAAGTCAAAGAGTTTGGATTTGGACCAAATTTTTCTAATTCAAAATTAATCAGATTACAAATTTATTATGTCATTTACAAATTCAAAGCATACTTTTCTTTAAATTATAACTTGTAATTAAAAAATAATCTCTCCTTATGCAAGAACAATTCCATACATATCAATCTGCTTTCCTTATTGTCTTTACCAACTTCAAAATTTAAATTCAAAAATTGAAATTTGGTGACTTCTCAAACAATATTTAGAATTAGAAATCATGAGCTTTCAAATATTAAAATTAAAATTTAAGATTTTAAATAAATTCCCATTCCCAAAGACTGCCTAAAACAAATTCATTGAGTTTAAACTTCTCGTGGATAAGTCATTTCGTCTTTGTTTAGTTAGTAGAGGGAAGGATCTTCAAAAAATAATGGAGGGAAGATTTGGTCATCCATAGAAAATTAAAGAATAAAAAAAAGCAATTGGGTCCACTAAGATTTGTTTAAAAAATGATGCGAGGTGATATTCTTCTTTAGCTTATACGGAGTAATAGTGATGCATGTTTAGGTATAACATTTTTTATTCACGTTCTTTTTTAGAAATCACTCTAAATATCAGTAAAATATAGAAAAATATCAAAATAAGAATTTTATGTTTTTATTCTCAAAATATAAGTTTGCACTGTTGTAATGTAGTATTGTATATGAATATTTCACAACACTTTTGGATAATGTATATGGTCGTGATTGACAGTATAAGTGTATTTTAACTCTTATTTTAAAAATAAAAACATAGAATATTTTAATATATATTCAATGTTTTACTCTTACTTTAGTTTTTTGGATAAAAATTTAATGGTGTGCATTCATTTTGAAACTCTTAACCCTAGATAAGAACAAAATATAAATCTCATATACATAGTAATTTCATTCTGTATATAGAAATGTTAACACTATAAAATGCTTGTAAAATGACTCTTGCCATTTGCCAACTTGGCACTCTACAATGTTTTGACATTATTTGATATTATAAAATTTATTTTGATATAAAATGTATGACATTGCTATTTGCCAACTTGGCATCCTACAATGTTTTGACATTATAAATTTTATTTTGATATAAATATAAATATATATGGTCTATAAAACATGTTGATAGATTTTAATCCACAATGCCGGGTAACGTATCATGTTATATAATCGGATCTAGTTATAAGATATGATTAATGATATGAACGCAATAAAATCATAGGTCTTTTTGGTGGTACAACCGTGCTATGTAAGGGTTTGCATCGGTCCAAATCCGAATCGAGACCAAATAACACTCATTTCTCAAGCTGGGGTGAAGCCCAATATGATTAGGACCGAACTGGTAAAACTCAAAGTGAACTTGAGCCGGACCAAATAAGGACCAATTAATATATTTATTTATTTTTGTATTTGTCAAAAGAATATGACTAAGACTGGACCGAGATGTATTTGTAACTTCTATTTTTAGTAGAACAACGAACCTAAGATTTACATACGATTCCCTCACGAGTATATTTCTTGGACCGAGCCCAACATATTTAGAGGACTGAAAGAATATTATTCCATCATATGGATTATGATATAGTCCTATTTAGGTAAATCTCTCATCTAAAAACTATGGAGTATTTCAAAATTTCTACAAAACAAAAACTAACATGATTATATTGTTTTGGTGAAATTAGCGACAAAAATATACAAAGAAAGATGATATAATTTGAATTTGAAACACCCGAACTTAAACCCCAAAGAATTCGAACTCAGACCATGCTTAAAGTTTTTTCCTAAGTAGTTTCAAATTTAAAAAATGATTAACTGAAAAAACTAAAGTAGAAGGCATCAAATGGAACCGAAGTGCAATTCAATATAAAAAAAAGAGTCTGACGAGGCCACCGGAGAGGATGACGTCCATCCTTTTTTATAGAAAAACTAACGAGAATTACATGGAGCATGCTAACTTACCCCAGAAATAATTCATAATGAGTATACTGTTGATATGAATAATAAAAAAATTACATTTTACATCATTCAAAAGTATATCAAAAATTCTTTCCGGAATATAAAATAAGATCTGATAAAAATAATTTATTTTATCAAATGATCAATGAAAATATATAAACAAATAAAAATTATTAAAAGACTGTAATAATAACAATGACCATCTTGCCATTCTTTTGAGTATCGGTGTGTGAGCAACGGTGTACAAATGTTGGCTATAATATACTATGGTTAGTCTCTTTACCAACCATTTCAATGTTATGAAAAGAGATTACGTAACGTTACCGTTTAAATACTTAGTATTTAATTCCGTACCAATAACAATGTTTTACTTTACCATTTTCAAAACGAATAGATTCTATGACCACTCTCTTTGATTGGCCGAGGAAGTCCTTACAATGCCCGATTTGTAAAATTGATAATTCCTAGCCCCTAGTAAACCCCCACCATGTGTCGACCCCAACCAATCCTCCACTCACATCAATTGCAGAGTGCAAGTTTAGTTGATTTCGTAAGATAAGAATTATCAATTTTGCAAACAAAGCACCATAATTATCTCAATTGGGAAAGAATCCTCTTTGACCACTCAAAGTGAATGACCAAAAAACCTATCCGTTTTCAAAATAAATCTAAGCTTTTACTACCTCCATCCCATTTTAAATTGCCTGTTTGCCTTTTTTCTCCGTCCCAAAATAAATTGTCTGTTAGTTGTTTTCGTAAACTTTTAAAAATAAAATACCTAAACTACCTTTAAAATAAGTCAATCTTCTTCACATTATATTTTCATTCATCATCATCCTTCCTAAAAAGTATTGACAATTTTGAAAAATCAACTCTATTTTAAATTTTTCTTAAATATGCCCAAAAGTCAGAACAGGCGATTTAAAACGGGACGGAGGGAGTAAAAAAATTATTCAAAACACTAACAAGATAGACATAAGCTTCACAACCAAAGCTGTTTATCAATACTCACATAGTGCCATTGACATCAGCATTCACATACAATGTATGAAGTCAATAATGACACTTCCATCCTGAGAATAATGGAGTTTATATTGCTCATCCCAATTTTATACGGAGTATATATATATATATATATATAAAATCCATGGTACAAAAGCACAGCATTTGACTACTTTATTCAACCAGGGCATAAGAAACAACCATTATAGAAGATTGACAATCAATAAAAATAGAGAAAATACAATACAAGTTGGCCAGGCACAGAGTACTCCATGGAGAAGAGAATGAGCAAAGAGAGAGAATGGTGTTTGGCCCACTTATAGTACCATTCAGTTCTTCACTGTGGTGATATGCCTCAAAAGCATTTGAACAACATCATGCGAAATTCTCGAAGCTTCTGTCGTCAAATGTTGAACTTTGGCCTCTGTTTCTGCCTCTAGGCGCTTGACATTCGCTCCCGAGTCCCCACTAGTCTGCTCAACAAACCCTCCACTGTTAGTTATACAATGGTTGGCTATAGCCTATACACTATAATCCACAATGTCAAGTAAATAATAAAAAGCCTTGCACTACGTTTGGTTGAAGGAGTTTGAAAGGGGAAAGAAAAGAAAATCAGATGGAAAATAGTTTTTCTTGCTTGGTTGGAGAGGAATTGAAAAGAAAAATGGATGAAAAAGAAAATGATAAGACAAAATGTACTAAGAGAAGAGAAAACCAAATTCCTCCCATTTTGGTGAGGAAAAAGAGAAAATCATTTTCTTTTCTATGCAAATTCCTTGAACCAAACATAGTGTTAATGATGCAACCAGAAAACACTATATAGGCACACTTTCAGTGATCCCACAGAATGAAATTGATCATATATCCGGCTTTGAGCAAAGTTAACTTTATTCAAGAGATTCAGCTCCACAGCATTAATATCTTTTGTGGATTCAATTATATACTCCGTATAACTACTAGTTTTTTATGTATTATACCTGAGCAAGCTTTTTCTGATATTCAGCTTCCATATGTGCACGAAATTCACTTATCTCCTTCTCAGCTTCTGCTTTTGCCTGTTTCAATCTAGCCAGTTTTTCTGCAAAGTGCAAATGCAAGCATGCAGCTTCAGATATCTTGTGTTGAGTATCCCACATCGATTGTCTACCATCTACATGGTTTCAGTGAGTCTAGTATAAAAAAGTGTGAGGCGTCCACCTACAAAGTGTTTTGAGGCAGCCACTTTGGACCCATTTGTCCACCCTTCAATTGTCATGCCCGGATTGAGCTCAAGTGGTTTATTAAGTACGGAGTATCACACATAAGTTGATAGATGTCTACTTACTACTGAGTTTGAGTTTAATATATAAGTGTGGGGTCAGCAATTGGCATCTCCCATTGAGGATCCTTTGAGAGCGACTTGGGCAGAATTCAATATCTTGGTGATCCAAGAAAAGAAATGCAGAACTACTAAAAACAAAGAATAAAAGGCCAAAGCATATAGTCTTGTTGTTTTTATATGTTCAGAACAATAAAGTTGAACCAGAGTTTACAGAAAAAAACTTTTAAAAATAGTGAATCCGTGCATTACAAGTTTACAACAATAATCGAGTTCTTCATTATTAGGTCTATCGTAACCCAAACCCTTGCAATACACCATTACCCCTTAGTTGGTAACAAAGCTTGTTGTGATTTGTGGGGTTCGATAGCTTGGGGCAGCCCATTCGGGAGAGTTATTACCCATTGTTAAACCCCATTTGGGATGAGAGGGTGTGTTAAGCATCTCAGATTCTTAACTTGATTATTCATTGTGTTTGAAGGTAATATTATGTGGATCA